AAATCCTAACTAGGTATTCAATTTAAATCCTGACTAGTAGCAACCCGTGCTTCCATTTTAAGTTTTCTAAGCCATGTTTTTAATTTTGTTTTTAAGGTTTAATAGCTAATATATTGATTTCATGTATCCAATACTTATCATGTTACCCGACCTGGCGGTCACAAATTTTGTGGAATTTATCTTTTTTCTTGAGCAGTTGGCCTACCAATCTCCATTTGAGATTGTATATTTTAAGAAATAAAAAATATGTAAGAGATTCAGACTCACACGTAAGTACAAACTTTTATCTGTAAATATATTTGGTTTGGTATAACATTATAAAATAAACTTGTTTTTATTGTTGTCATTGATCGTGATACTAATAAACGGGAACAAAAAAGTTTGAGAAATATATTGTAATATGTGATTATTCTTATTTCTCAATTCAAAATTATAATATATTCTATAAAATCAATGTACTTATATAAAATATTCTCTAAAATATCAAAAATTAACGATAACTTGTATTTTCCTACAACTATATCAATATTTTTTGAGAATTTTTGAGAAATACCCCTTTTGGTGTATCCTTTTTAAAAATACCCCTTTTATCTATCCATTTTCAAAAATATCCTTTTTTAAATATAAAAATTATAAAGTTTTATATAGTTTATAAGGTACTTCTATATAATAACTACTACTGGGAGATTCGATACAAATATTTAAAATGTTTTAAATAGTTTTAAATCGTTTTTATAAGTTTTATAAGGTTTTTAAAAGATTTTTAAAAGGGTTTATACGGTTTTTATAAGGTTTTTATAATTTATTTTTACGCTATTTATGAAAGGTGTATAAAGTTTTAGACACATATAAAGGTAATTTGTGTATATATTTATAAGACTACACACATATTTGGATAAATTTTAACATTTTTAGTGGGTTTTTTGATAAAGTTTGAAAAAGATGTATTTTTAAAAAGAAGTATATGAAAAGGGGTATTTTTGAAATTCCCCCTTTTTGTAAGTTGTAGTAACATTACCTTACAAATCCTTTTATTAAGTTATTATTTATTAAATTTATTAGAGTTTTTTTATTTTAATTATAAAAAGAATCAAATTGGGAAAAAACTTAAATTTTAATGAGAAAAACCATTTTTTTTTAAAGTATACCGAAATACAAATTTTTAATACCCCTTTCATCTATACATAAAAAAATACAAATTTTTAAATATGAAAACCTATAAAGTTGTATATGGTTTATAATGTATTTCGAGATATTAAATACCACTAGGAGACTAAATATGAATAATCTATAAGGATTTAAAAAGTTTAAAAACGTTTTTACAAGGCTTTTAATAGGTTTACAAGGTTTTTAAAAGGCACTTAGAGTACTTATAAAATATATATAAAGGTAATTTGAAAAGATATTTATACAGTATTTATAAAATATATATAAAAAGTATTTATACAATACTTATAAAATATATATAAAAGGGTATTTTTGAAAAAAATACACCAAAAGGGTATTTTTAAAAAATTCTCTATATTCATAAAATTATACATAGATTTGAATAATTTTCAATTTTTGTGATATTTTTGATAAAATTTGAAAGAGAAGATAGTTTTGAAAAATGACATTTTTGAAATTTCCAGAAAATTATAAATTTAGTTAAACCTTTTAAAAAAAAGTGCTGTTTATTTTCTTCCACGTATCAAAATCGAATATTTATATGGTTTAAATAAATGTTATTTTTTCTGTTTAAATATACCCTGATCAAATAATCATACCGTTTGGATCCGTTTTCTAAAGAGGAAAACAAAACAAAAAGGTTTATAATAAATATGTCAATGTGTAAACTATATTCAATTTTCAAATTGTAGACAAAATAAACCTCTCTCCTTCCTCGCAGCTTCCGTCTTGTATGCAAAGCCTCTTTGACTCTTGACCACTTCTACTCTGCAATTAACTTCTTCTCTTCCTCTATCCCGATCGAAATCAACCCAATTCGATCGGAATAGATCCCCAAGAATGGAACCAGATCGTCATGACCAGCAACAACAACGAGTCCACGGCGTAGTCGTAATCACTCTCCCACCGTCCGATGATCCCTCACAAGGCAAAACAATCTCTGCCTTCACCCTCACTGATCACGATTACCCACTAGAGATCCCTCCCGAGGACCCGAGTTTTCATCAACCCGACCCGCTTCACCAAAACCCGCAATTTCGTCTCTGGTTCTCCGATCTCTCCATGAGTTCTCCGAGATTGGTTCTAAGTCTTCTCGGTATCTCGCTTATCGCGATTGCTCTGTACGGCTCTGTTTTCTCCAACTCTGTTCAGATGTTTAGGGTTTCTGATGAGAGGAACCGTGATGACGATAATAGCCGCCGTGAAACGACGTCGTTTGTTTTCCCTGTGTATCACAAATTGAGAGCTCGAGAGTTCCATGAGCGGGTCTTAGCGGAAGATTTGGGTGTAGAGAATGGAATCTTGGTGGAATCTATGGATTTAGAATTGGTCAACCCTGTGAAAGTCAACAGTGTTTTATCCACAACCGCTGGTTCTGTTGACTCCTCCTCCACTACGATTTTTCCTGTCGGGGGTAATGTGTATCCAGATGGGTACGCTTTGAATAAAATTCTCTAAAGTCCGAATTTTGCGAGTTCCTTAAAGCACAAGTTAACAGAGATTTGTTTTGTTGCAGACTGTATTATACACGGATTCTTGTTGGGAAGCCTGAAGATGGGCACTACTATCATCTTGATATTGATACTGGTAGTGACTTGACTTGGATCCAATGTGATGCGCCGTGTACTAGTTGTGCTAAGGTAAAGATCCATTTTTTTATGTTTTAGGAGAGTCTCTCTTTGGAATCGCTGATGAACATTTTGGTTTTTGGTGGGATTTAGGGAGCAAATCAACTATATAAGCCAAAAAATCATAACTTAGTGGGATCTTCGGAGCCCTTATGTGTAGAATTCCAAAGGAATCAAATGACTGGACATTTTGAGAGTTCACAACAGTGTGACTACGAGATTGAATATGCTGATCATAGCTATTCCATGGGAGTTCTCACTAAAGATAAGTTTCATCTCAAACTCCACAACGGATCACTAGCCGAGTCAGATATAGTTTTCGGGTAACAACTACTCTCTGTTAACAATTTGTGATTTTGTTACAGAATATATGAGTGTTTCATGTTGTGACTTTTGCTTTTGTGATTAACATATTAAGATGCGGATATGATCAGCAAGGCGTACTGTTGAACACTCTGCTAAAGACAGACGGGATTCTCGGTCTAAGTAGAGCTAAAATTAGCTTACCTTCTCAACTTGGAAGCCGAGGTATTATCAGCAATGTGGTTGGCCATTGCCTTGCCTCTGATTTAGACGGTGAAGGATATATCTTCATGGGTAGTGATTTGGTTCCATCACACGGAATGACATGGGTTCCTATGCTTCACCATTCCCGCTTGTAAGTGCTTAACGTAAAACCAGCCTAATCTACCTAGCAGCTTAGAATAGCTTGATTGGATGCTTATTTGAATATATTTTAGTATTCCCACAAGTTTCAATCTATGTCACTTGCATATATGCTAAGGTCGCTTACAATTTTTTGGTTTCTTTCAGGGAAGTTTATCAGATGCAAGTTACAAAGATGAGCTATGGGAACGCTATGCTTACCTTAGATGGTGAAAACGGAAGAGTAGGGAAAGCCTTATTTGATACAGGAAGTTCCTATACATACTTCCCAAACCAGGCTTACACCCAATTGGTCACATCAGTAAGTAATCACATATAAAAACTACTTTTGCCTTTTGTTAAATGAAAATCTTCTGGTCAATGATGTTTTACCGTTTCTTTTTGGTGAAAGCTTCAAGAAGTTTCTGGTTCAGACTTAACACGTGATGATTCAGACGAAACACTGCCTATATGCTGGCGAGCTAAAACTAACTTCCCTATCAGGTACAACCAGAACATATGATATTCTTTTGCATAAAGCTAATTAATTTTCCGATCAGGTACTTTCAGAACATTTGATCAGAACATAAAGAGTTATTGGTTTCGGTAATGTGCAGTTCCTTGTCAGATGTCAAGAAGTTCTTCAGACCAATAACTCTGCAAATATGGAGCAAATGGTTGATCATATCAAGAAAACTTTTGATTCAACCCGAGGATTACTTGATCATCAGCGTAAGCACTTTTTATAAGCTCTTATAATTTCGATTGCTAGCTTTATATTTGAGTTTATATATTCGGGTTTCGCACGTACTTTTTGCTGCAGAACAAAGGAAATGTGTGTCTTGGGATATTAGATGGAAGCAGTGTCCATGATGGTTCCACCATTATTATTGGAGGTAAACTTATCATTTTATCTGCAAAACCCAACATTTTTCCTGTCTGAAACCCAACATGGAACTTATGAGATACGTGTTTCGTTTTGTTATTGCAGATATATCGATGCGTGGACACTTGATCGTGTACGACAATGTGAAACGGAGGATCGGATGGATGAAGTCAGATTGCGTCCGGCCTCGTGAGTTTGATCACAATGTACCTTTCTTTCAAGGCTGACGGATCCATAATTCTTACATATATCAGTGTATAAATCTGACACATGCAAGCGTGTATTATAGTAGTTAGGCGTAAATTACATATTGTGTAACATAAAATTGAAAAAGACTAATCAAGTTTTGATCTGTAACACTTGTTAAAAATAATATTACTATAAACTAGATATGATTAAATATTGTATCATATAAAAGAAAAAGGGCAAAAAATTGATTAAATATCATATATGTTCGTAATTATCAAATATATTTTAGAAAAATGCTGAAAATCCATATCCGTTAAAATATTTTAGGACAAACGTATAATATTTGTCAACTGCCAAGATTTGTTAGAGAGGGTACATTTCTGATGAACTGATGAAAGATTTATATTTTCTAAAACCTAAAACGGTATACAGTACCTATATATACCCGTCCTATCTGCAAATACAATGCAACGATAAAGAAAAGAATGAAAATATCAGATTACATCCCAACTGATCTCATTAAGGAGATATTCTTGAGGTTGCCAACAAAGTCTATCGCGAGGTTCCGTTGCCTGTCCAAGCTATGGGGTTCCATGCTTTGCTGTCCATCATTCACCGAGCTGTTCTTGACCATGTCCTTGGCTCGCCGCGGCTTTTATTTGGGGTCGAACAACATGGTAACTGGATCTTCTTCTCGTCGCCTCAGCATCAGTATAATAAGTCGTCTCTTGTAGCAGCCACCGATTTTCATATAAAGTTCTCTGGAGACATAAGCCGATACATATGTAGCCACGCCTCTGGTTTGCTCTATTTCCAAGGTATGAATATCTCAAAGGATGGAGATGATGAGGTTAGAGTGCCTATGATATGTAATCCGATCACGGGAAGATATGCGATCTTACCTAAACTGAGAAGCAACAAGGAGCAGATAAGCTTTTTAGGGTTTGATCCCATTGACAAGCAATTCAAGGTATTGTTCATATCTCATCCATATTATTGTGATGATGACTATAAGATTCTGACGTTAGGAACTGGAAAAATGAGGTGGAGGAATATCGATTGTCCCGTGAGCCATGAATGTTCGTGGAGAGGGATATGCATAGATGGGGTTTTGTATTACTTAGCTAAACCAAAATACCAAAGATCTTATGTGATAGTTTGCTTTTATGTTAGGTCAGAGAAATTCAAGTTTGTAGACGCAAAATTCTGTGGGAGTAGTCCATCAGATATTATATTGGTAAACTATAAGGGGAAATTAGGTGGCATTGTTTTGAAGCATGTTTCCTTTTGTGGATTTTCCCTTGAGTTGTGTATGTGGGTTCTAGAGGATGTTGAGAAACATGAATGGTCCAAGTGTGTCTACTATTTGTGGGATGACAATGAAGTCATTCATGTTTCCTACTATCTTTCCGTTGCCGGTATGACTACTACAGCTGAAATTGTTTTGTCGACGGACTATGCATTTAAGCCGTATTATGTTTACTATTTTAATCCCGAAAAGAACATTCTCCGAAGAGTTGAAATCCAAGGTTTTGAAGAATACGTTGATGTCTTCAAGATTAGGGGTAAAGTTTTTGCCTTTGTAAACTATGTAGACGATCTTTATCTCAACGATACAAAGCAATTCAAGTCAAGCCTTTTACACCAAGGCCTATTTAACTATCATTCGGAAAAAGGCCAATACCAAAGCGTCTTGTTCCATCAGTGAAGAATAAGCACCCTGTCAGCTTCACCAGAACATGTCCGGACGAATTCCAAGCTAACCTAGATCATTGAGGACAGGTTTAGCAAATTTGATCTTGAAGACCAAGCCAAAATCTGTGTACAAGAGTCTAGCTATCACTCTGTTGGCCTAGCTATTTTGTTCTTTCTTGTTACCATGTACTAATATTGTTACTTTGGAGTTGGGAACAAACTAATGTTTTATCCTACATTGTGTTTTCATAAAACAAGGAGTCACATGGGTCTTTACAGAGCTGATGTTTGAATAATATAAGATACATAGTAATATGCATGAAGCGATGGAGAGTCAGAATACAGTTTACACCTTTGTAGACCATGTTGAGGATCTTAAGTTGAATAATATTATGAAGAAAACAACATATGCCGCATGCCGCAGCGTCTATAAGCCCACCAGAACAGGAGTCTAGTCCCACGAGCATATCAACATCATCTAGAGAAGATAATATGATGTGACGATCGATGCTCACCCGCAACAAGATCATCTTCCTACGTTTGAGATCATTAACAAGTTTGAATCTCTGCTTTTTTTAGATGATGATGAATTTACAGGTGTCAAAACTTGGCTTGTTGTTTTCTTTTCTTTTCTGGTTATATACATGTCCTAATTTTGTTACACGGTGCTGAGGAACAAACTAATGTTTTATCCTAAAACTCCTTTTTCGTAATGTAAACCTCTATTGTATTCTGTTTGCTTTTACTTCATCTTTACGAAATTACTAGATTATACCAGAAATAAATTGATAAATTTAACTAATAATTATTCATTCATTTTCACACGAAATAATCTTGTAGCTAGATGAATCACATATTACCCACTTTGTTACGTATAGTATGAAAACTTCTTCTACACACATTTCACCTATGAAAACATATTGTTTTTCTTTATCTGTTATATAACTATCACATGTAAATAAAATTCATCAAATTTATCTCCTTTGGGGATAGTAAAATCGAAGACATCACGAAAAAAAAATTATTTGTTTATGTGAATAAACACAATGAAATGCAACCGAAGCACATATTTCTTTATGCGATCTAGCGAGCCACAGGGTTCACTTCAGTATCAAAGGTCATGGTTACATCTCTAGAACTCTCAGAACCCATGTTCTGACTTTTCCCTCCTCTTGTGTTTTCTAATGTTATACATTCGATTAATTCGGTAACAACTTGAGACATGGTCGGTCTTGCCATTGAAGATGCATTCACACAAGTCATTGCTAGCTCCACAAATTTCCAAACTGAATCAGAATGGTAATCTTCCTTGAGACTTGGATCTACAATTTTTGTAATATCTCCTATGGTAATCATTAAATTCACCCATTCCGCTATGTGTGACTTTTCGCGGCACTGCTCAATCACCGGTCGATTTGTTATGATCTCCAATAAAACGACCCCGAAACTGTATACATCACTCTTCTCTGTCAACCTACCTGATCTGTAATATCTGCAAGACAGTTTGTAAAATTTGTTAAAGAGTTTAATTTATTAAGAAGTAAGAATATGAAAAAGATAGTTTAATTAAATACTCTGGATCAAGGTAACCAATAGTTCCTGCTACAACAGTAGAGACATGACTTTCTCCTTCGTTTAGAAGTGATCTCGAAAGTCCAAAGTCAGCAAGTTTGGCTTGGAAGTGTTCATCCAACAATATATTTGCGGTTTTGACATCTCTATGAATAATTGGTGGTCTGCATCCTTTATGCAAGTACTCCAAACCTAGTGTAACAAATTCATTTGTACCAAATTTTATCATATAAAGTAGAGTTTTTAAAAGGAAGTGAATAGGTTCATTAAGCTTTATTAAACCTTGTGCCGCCTCCAGTGCTATTTGTAATCTAGTTTCCCACCTTAAAACAGCATCACCGCGCTTCCCTGTGTGGTTTTAATAAGGACGTTAGCTTCTAATAACCAATAGGAAGTTGTTACATGATTTGTTAGTTCAATAGTGAATTAAGATTAGGTTAATTAAATTTGGTTTACCGGAGAAAAATTCTTTTAAGTCTCCATTAGCCATGTATTCGTAGACGAGAGCCAATTCGTTCCCTTTTTCGCAGTATCCAACTAGGCTTACGAGATTCTTGTGATGAACTCTTAAGAGAAGTTCAACCTAACAAACCACAAAAGCACACATAAATTTCAGATATATGGTCACATTTATTTTTAAAAAACTTATAAAAGATACTTGCATAAAGGAATGTTGCGTTATAAGTACCTCTGCCTTGAATTGTTTATGGCCATGTTTTGAAGCATGTGAGAGTACTTTAACAGCAACTGGCTCTGTACCATTTACATATCCATGATAAACCATACCGAACCCTCCTTTCCCAAGAACCCTTTCAAAGTTATTTGTCATTTCAGTTATTTCTGCATAAGTAAATCTTTTCTTTTTCGTTATCCTTGGTGGGTCGGATGATCTTGAAGTTCTGCCATTTGCTGCAACAAAAAAGTTTAATATGATCTTGAAGTTTCTTTTTCGTTATCCTCATATCAAAACTTTTAGGTTTGGTACAAGTACCTTTACTCCTTGATAGATTTTTCTTTCTAAGAACCAAAAACAAAACCGATGCAGCTATAAGAACACCTATTAAAGCAAGTGATGAGACAACTGGTATAATTATACTCTTTTTGGAATGGCCACCTTCTCCAGGTTTATTTAGACATGGTCCTTCTGTGCAAATAAGCATATGGTTGCCTTCAACACTATGAATTACAAATGTTATTCAATATATTTTATTTATTAAACAAAGTTATGATAATCTTTAAATGAAAATATATAATCAAATACTTACTTTAACTTTAATCCTTTCTTTTGTTGAAGCTTTTCGGGAAGTTGACCACTAAAATTGTTTCCACTTAAGTTTCTGTAAAAGAGAGATACAACACAAGGTTAGAATCTATATGAGCTAGAATTGTTGGAAGACATTATTGTATTTCATACTTTCTTATAAGAGACTAACTTACATGATCAAGAGCGATTTTATGTCAGCTAGAAACTCAGGCACATCCCCAACCAAGTCGTTATTTGACAAATCCCTATAGCATTTGATTTTTTTTTATATAGATTACTCCATCACATAAGACAACTTAAAATGTATGATTTGTTCATTTATGTGCATATGTGATACTTACAGCTCTTGTAGATTGGTCAAATTCTTGATGGAAGATGAGATGATCCCGGTTAATCCACTTGAAGACAAGTTTCTAGTGATATATATCCATGAATATGTATATGTTTCAAATTTGATATATTTAGAAAAGAGAATTTTATCTTAGTTATGATACGGGGATTGAAAAATCTTACAGAAAAGTGATTGTTGGTGGAGTGGAACTATCAACGTTGCTGCATTTTAAACCAGACCACAAAAACAGTTTGGGGACACATGGATCTCCTTGCCAATTAATTCTACTCAATCCATAAGCAATTTGGATCTTCTTGATAGCACTCACTGGCATTGCATAGTGAATATCAAGAATCAAACACATGCAAAGCTACAATTCATATGTATACAAAGGTCCATTTACGTACCTTCATCTTGATTTGTTTCTATTTGAGGAAACTCAACAACAGTAAAAAGTTCAATAGCATTGATGAGAGGAGGAAGAGTTGATTTTGTTGTTTTCACTAGCTGCAAGAGGCAACTCCCCCCTTTGCATGTCAATGTCGATTCCGGTTGTGTGCTCATGCTTCCTATACTAAACTTGTTAGGACTATAAGGTCCATAAAAATGTTTTCCATTAAGAAAAACATTGAACTCCCTGGTTTCATTGGCTAACAAAGTTTGAAGCTCTGCGAAGTGAAGGTAAATGTGAAACCGTGTTGTAGAATCTTTTAAGGTCCATGGAAATTCCCATGTCCCATTGTCATTTACACGGGTTGCGGCCGAGGCCATTGCACCTTGTGGTAGATCAAAACCATTTGAAGTGTTTACATTGAGAGTGGTAGTTATTAGAGTCCACTCCTTATTAGAGAATGGGAACCATCTACGATCCTTGACATCATCAGGGTACCTATAAAAATCTTGTTTTAGACATAGAAAACAACACTCTGAAGTTTTTTCACATTATTTCTCTTCTTGATCTATGTCATCTCTATATCACAAAACTTTACTAAATCCAAGATAAAGATTCCTTAGCACATATCAAAGTTTACTTACCTTAAAACTGGTCCTGAATCCTTAAGATAACCTCGGAAATAGAGTTGCAAGGAGCTTCCATTGGCACTAATGTAAGTATCGCTTCGCAATGGTCGTAGCTCCAAGGTTGATATCATCGGCGTAGTTGTTCCAGTCTTAACAAGACAAATATACAAAGAGCTTGACCTAGACATGTGAATCATCTCCTCAAACACACCACCTCCGCTTGCATTAAAGTTCACCGTTGTCCACTTATTAGGGCCAATAAATAGATCAAAGTTCGGGATCGTATTAAGACCATCATAATTCCCATACAAGAAAGATGCTCTAATCAAGTAATTTGTTCCTTGCGTGACCTTCAAGGTATAACAATTCCTTTCTCCATCTGGAAAGTATCTCAAAGTTATAAAAGCCTTTTCGAAGTTTCTCTCAGAATCCTTACTGACTCGACCGTTCTTTCCACTATCGATGAAACTAGAATCCGAAGTGAATGTTAATCCAGTAGATGGATTGGTATATGGAGACCCGTCAGGTAACAGACCACAATCCAAAGTGACAAATCCTAATAAGACGAGAGGGAATTATCAGAAAACACAAGTTTAGAAAAATGTCAAGAGGATTTTTTTCTTAATATCAGAGTTTAAAAGTTAATACCGTTTTGATCCTGAGCCTTAACAACATGTATAAAAGCAATGACGATGATGATGAACACACACAAAACTCCATGATAATACTTTTCCATTTTTTTCATATTTTTGGAGGATTAAGTGGTTGACATCTTTTTTAAGTTCTGAAAATATTAAGGTATGTCACGTTATCAAGTGGACAATAA